ACTGAAATCGTACCTTTGATAACGGCATCAGATGCCTCAGCCTCAGGCCTGGTTGGGAAAGCATAACATCGGGGCTGGGCCCCACCACTCTGAACTACATCCCTGGGTCGGCCTCCCGCTAGCTGTCCTCCACCATTAGCGGCCTGACCTCCACCTCTAGCTGCCTGACCCCTGCCCCTAGCTGGCTGAGCGGGCGGTGGAACACCCGGTGCCTGAACCATGGCACGAAAACCCTGATGCTGAGAACTGCTCGACGCTCGAGGGAAAAATCAAGCAATGTGCCTCGGATCACCACAAGTATAACAAGTCCTCGGCTGCTGGGGCTGCTGACCCTGAAACTTACCTTGATAGCTTGAGGAACCACCCTGAAAACTCTGGAGCGGAGGTGCACTGATAGGAGCTGACGATGCACTGTAAGGTAGCTGATCAGAATACTGCATATGAGAACACGACCACCTGAAGCACCGTGAGAACCCTGAAGTGTTGAATGAAATGTCCTAGGAGGATGGCCCCTACCAAAAGAATCCCTGCCTCCAAACGAGGCACCACTGAACCTACTAGAATGATGAGGCCTCTTGTCAGACCCCTGACCACTCCCCTGAGCTAGAACCATCTCAACCCGCCTGGCCACATTGGCCACATCCTGGAAAGAAATCTTGCTACCCGTCTCCTTAGCTATCTGTAATCTGATAGGCTGAGCGAGTCCCTCAATGAACCTCCTCACTCTCTCTCTCTCTCAGTGGGGAAGTATAAGAAGAGCAGGACGAGCCAAATCAGCAAACCCAATCTCGTACTGGGTGACAGTCATAGAACCCTGCTGAAGATGCTCGAATCGCTTGTGGTAGTCCTCTCTCTAAGTGACAAGAAGAAACTTCTCGAGAAATAGCTGAGAGAACTGGTCTCAAGTCAAGGCAGACGAACCAACTGGTCTAGTCAACACAAAATCATTCCACCATCTCCTGGCGGACCCTATCATCTGGAATACAGCAAAGTCGACCCCATTGGTCTCTACTATCCCCATGTTCTGCAACACCTCATGGCAGCGGTCAAGATAATCCTGGGGTTCCTCAAAAGCTGCCCCACTGTAATGTACCGGGAAAAGCTTGGTGAACTTATCCAACCTCAACAAAGCCTCAGAAGACATAGATGAGCCACCAACGGCTTGAGCTGCAACAACTGGCTGAGCTGCTGGAGTCTGGAACTGAGGAGCCATCTACTCCGGAGTGTGGGTAGGGGGATTCTGAGCTCCTCCCCCATCTTGAGAGACGGTTGGTGCTACAGGGAATGTGCCAGTTCTAGCTACGCTCTCCATAAGGCCCACTAGATGGACCAGAGCATCCTGAAGTACCGGGGTAGCTATGAACCCCTCTGGAACCTGGGTTGGACTCGCTGGAACGGTCTGGGCTGGAACCTCATTGTCAAACTCTACCCGAGGCTCTACCGCTGGTGCTGTTGCTCGAGATCTGGGTTGAGCCCTGCCCCTGCCTCGGCCTCGGCCTCTGCCCCTCATAGGAGCTACCACTAGGGGCTCGGGCTGCTGGTCAGCTGATGAAGTGGTACGTGTTCTCACCATCTGTGAAAGAACAGAGTGGAAGTTCAATTGGCATTGAGAATTCAAATCGCACAACAGGAAAGAATAGATGTGAAGTTTTCCTAAACTCTGTAGCCTCAGGGGGATAAGCACAGACGTCTCCGAACCGATCCCTCAAACTCTACCTAGCTTGTTTGTGAATTGTGAGACCTAGGCAACCTAGTGCTCTGATACCAACTTGTCACGACCCGGATTTCCCACCATCGGGATCGTGATGGCGCCTAACTCTTGAATGCTAGGAAAGCCAACAATTACGGTTATAAAAAATTAACAAGTAACCCAAATAGAAATAAATAATAACTAAAGCTAAACAGATATAAAGTGCGGAAGTGTTATAACAGCCCAAAAACTCCAATACATGTCTACCCCAATGATCTGGTGTCACAATTCACAAACGTCTAAGGAGTTCTACAAATACTGGTTTAAAAGAATTACAACTGTTCTCAAAATGGAAAGAGACAGAAAATCCAAAATAGAGGGAAGGGGACTCCAGGGTCTGCGGACGCCGGCAGATCTACCTTAGGTCTCCCGTGGACAAGGCAGCAACCCAAACTCTACTCACGAGGTCCGGCACCGAAATCTGCACAGAAAGTGCAGAGTGCAGTATCTGCACAACCGACCCCATGTACTGGTAAGTGTCGAGCCTAACCTCGGCGAAGTAGTGACGAGGCTAGGACACGACATCAATATAAACCTATGCAGTTAAATTATATACGAGAAAACAGTAATAACAGAAATTTAACAGGTAAAGACGGGAAGGGGAAACGTGCTACGGGAATATCAGATTCTGACAGTTATTCAATAGAAAAGCTAAGTGAAAACCAAATTCGAACCAACAGAAATAACGATATAATAACACGTGCACGGCATCATCCTTCGCGCTTTTACTATCGTCCTCACCATAAGAAACAACAGAAATGGCACGACATCACCCTTCGTGCATTAAATCTCATAATCATGGCACGGCATCACCCTTCGTGCATTAACACTCAAATCATGGCACGGCATCACCCTTCGTGCTTTACACTCATCCTCATCCAAACAATATAAACAATAACGTCCCGACAAAGGAATCAACAATAGCCAATCTCATTCAAGAGTTAACTTCACAATTTAAGTCTCAACTTTAGCAATACTCAACAGTTATCCAATACCAAGAAAAATATCATAACACTTGTTCAACATGGAGAATCATTAGTTTAAGCATGAACAGTACGTAATAAGAGACACAACGGTCACAGAATAAGATTCACTTGCATGCTCAACATCAACGTATAGATACTCGTCACCACACCTATACGTCGTACTCAACGCCAACACGTAGCAAATAAGACAACAACACCTATTCCCTAAATCTAAGGTTAGACCAAACACTTACCTCGATTCCACGGCCAAACTCAAGCCTCAAATATCGCTTTTCCTTTGATTTCAACTTCCAAATCGCCTGAATCTATGCAAAATTAACTAATTAACATCAATCAACGCTAAATAAACCAATTTTAATGCATGAGTATAGATTTTCCAATGTTTTCTCCAAAAAGTCAAAAATCGACCCTGGGCCCGCCCGGTAAAAACTCGTAGTACGAACCAAAATCCGACTACCCATTCACCCACGAGCACAAATATGCAATTGGTTTTGAAATCCGACCTCAATTGGAGGTCTAAATCCCCAAATTTCGGAATTCCTAAATTCTACCCAAGAACACCCAATTTCCCATGAAAACCCCTAGATTTTGAGATGAAATCATGTAAAAGAATGAAATAGATTGAAGAAAATGAGTTAGAAATCGTTTACCTATGATTTGGGGAAGAACTCTCCTTTGGAAAATCGCCTATGGGAGCTTAGGGTTTGAAAATTTGAGAAATGAATTCAAAATTCCGTCTAAGTCATGTTTTGATCAGTTGCAGATGTCGCATTTGCGAAGCTCGCAAATGCGAGACAGGCTTCGCAAATGCGAACTTGCTGCATCTCTGCTACTGTCGCAATTGCGAAGGTAGCCCCTCCCTACAGACTTCGCAAATGCGAAGGTTTGCGAAGGTATGTTCGCAAATGCGAACTATACTGGCCCAGCGCTTATTCGCAATTGCGATTAAACCCTCGCATTTGCCAAGCATGTGAAGCTCGCAAATGCGAAGCCTGATCTCGCAATTGTGAGATCAGAGGCCTACAACAAATACCAGATGCAACAGTAGCTAAGTCCAAACTCACTCCGTGGCCTATCCAAAACTCACCCGAGCCCTCGGGGCTCTAAACCAAACATGCATACAAGCCTAAAAACATCATACGGACTTCTTGGTGCGATCAAATCGCCAAAATAACATCTTAAACAACGAATTTAACACCAAAACTCATGATTTTCTAAAGAACACTTGAAATTTCTATTTTTGCAACCGGGCGTCCGAATCACGTCAAATCACTTCCGATTCTCACCAAATTTCACAGATACGACTTAAATACCATATCAAACCTATACCGGGATCCGGAATCAAAATACGGGCCCGATACCAACGAGATCACACATTATTCCATTTCTAAAAATCCTTATATTTTTTAGCAAACAATTTTCTTCAAAAATTCATTCATCGGGCTAGGGATCTCGGAATTCGATTCCAGGCATACGCCCAAGTCTCATATTTTACTACGGACCCTACGGGACCATCAAATCACGAGTCCGGGTCCGTTTACCAAAAATATTGACCGAAGTCAACTTTAATCAATTTAAGAAGCAAAATTCAATATTTTTCTTAGACTTCACATAAAGGCTTTCCGGAAATGCGCCCGGACTACGCACGCAAATCTAGTAGAAAGAAAATGAGATTTTCAAGGCCTCGGAACCTGGATTCGGATTCTAAAATAAAAGATGACCCCTTCGGTCATCACAATAAATTACTAAGTCAAATGCTTCTTCATATGTTGACAATCCACCTTAGTGGGCTGGCCCATAGGCTCACTCATTATTTGTGAAAATAGCACGGGTTAGCCAGTTTTCGGATTGGTAATTGAAAAATAGCCCGCATTTGTAAGGTCATTGAAATATAGCCACTATTTTATTACAACACGGAAAGTTCTAGCATAATATATTGAAGATTGGAGCACCAGTGTATGAACTTCCAGCATATTATGTTGGACCATAATGCTGGAAGTTCAGTATATTATGCTGGAACTCCAGTATATTATGCTGGAATATTTTTTGGATTCTGAACAGTATTTTTATTCAGATTTATCTTTACGAAAAGTGGCTAAATTTCGATTACTTTTGAAATTGTGGCTATTTTTCAATTACCACTTAAAAAGGGGCTATTTTTCAGTTTCATCCTTATTTTTCTGTATATTCAGTTTGTTATTGCACAAAATATGTATCTTCATTTGATTCGGCAACTTTTTCAACTTTCCGAGTAGACTCTTTTCTTTCTCTTTCGTTTTCATCGGAACGTAGGTTTCTTGTTCATCCCTCTCCAATATTTCACCTTATATCTGCAGGTAACTTTTCAGATGTAGAATTGGTGTAAACTGATTTTTAAAGTTTCTGCGAGTACCCTTATTCTAGCTTCTCAGGTTCTGAATTCTGGATAAGTATAAAGTAAAGTTAAGTTGGCTCAGTAGAATTAAAAATTGGCGGCCATTCACGTGCTCGTTAGCCCTGAATTAGACTCCTCATGCTTGTGTAATCTATAACATTTTGTGTATATAGGGTAATCATCGCATCGTATGTTGTAGTTCTATATATCATGGGCGGATTTATAGCCCATTTTATGGGTCACTTGAACCCATGGTCTTTTCGTCAAACTAGATATTTTATGTATATATTTTCTAGAATTAATCTAAAATTGTGGCACCCATGCTCCAAAGAGTTTAAATGGTGCACTTGGTTAAGTGTTGAGTTAGTTATCTAGAGGAGCAGGGTAGTGCACCTATATTATATATGATTGATGCAAAAGAAACATTTTATATGATACTTAGGCAGAGTTGAATGACTTTTTAGTTACAAAATTATTTCTCAACTTTCTGTGATACTTGGGCAAAGTTTGATGATTTTTTTGTTAAGAAAAAAATACTTTAGCGACTTTCTGTGATACTTAGGCAAAATTGAGTGATTTTTTTTTTTTTTTGGTTACAAAAAATAGTTTTGAGACTTTGCTTGATTAAAATAAAAGTTGATGAGTGGTCACCTGTGATAGAATGTAACTTTGAAGGTATTTTACTCCTATAAGGGTTAAGGATGTAGAATGTAATTTTGATGGAGTTTACCTGTATAGTAATAAGAGTTAAAAATGTTATTTTGGTTCCATACTGCAACCACAAGACTCAAAGAAAACGATTTACTTTCTCTTTGGTGTGCGTGAGCAATGAGGACTTTATTGCACTACTCTCTCAAGTTCTTCACGTTTTAAAATATGACTATTTTCAGATATGTTGTGCATTTCATAGCAAACTCCTTGTTTTTTCTATATTTTCTAGGACCTATCCTAGCTCTTGCCTGTTGTAACCACAATTTGGATTCCAATTATAGATCATATAGTTGCTGCATTTGTAATTACCCACTATAGCTGTAATGTTATCCATATAAAAGGATTGAAAAGGGACTCAAAGAAAGTATTTATGGAAATCTCATTACAGAGCTTAAGTTGTTCCTTCTGTTTTAGCTCTCTTTCTTCACTGTGTTTGTGTTTTGATGAAGTGTAGGTCCTCAACATCCAGAGCACACATGAGATTTGCTGGGGAGTTTTAGTCTAAATCTACCTCTCAAGAACAAAACTTGCAGCAGTTATCAGCCAACCAAAATGACGAATTCAGATTCCAAACTAAGCTTGAAGCTGTTGATTGACACCAAGGCCCGCAAATTTCTATTTGCTGAGGCTGAAAAGGACTGTGTCGATTTCCTCTTTCATATTCTCACATTGACTAAGCTTCTTAAGGAGAAAGGAATGAGTGGATCCTTGATTAACCTCTACGAAAGCGTAGAAAATCTGAAGGATAGCTATGTCCAATCGAACCAATGCAAGGATATCCTTTTAAAACCCAAGTCTTCAGTTGGGACTATCTCTTCAGTACCTTTTCTATTGCTTAATGATGTTCCGAGTAAACGGAATTTTTATGGATGTAGCTACTCTTTGCATCACGCAAAAGTTTCTGATGACCCTAGTGCTGTCTGTCCAGATTGTGGGAGGTGTACGATGACAAGAAGGTTAACGTATGTTGCTCCACGGGGAGTGAAGGAAGCTGCCACAGCTACAGGGGGGTTTGTGAAGGAGATGGTGACATACATTGTTATGGATGACTTAGTGGTTAAGCCTATGTCCGCCATTTCTAGCATTGCCCTTCTAAACAAGTTTAATGTCAAGGATGTTGGTGTACTAGAGGAGAAAGTAGTAAATTTAGGAATGGAAGAGGTAATCAATTAAGTTAAATATCTCTTCTTCTTTTCTTGTAGCCTTTTCTGTTTGGTGAACTTTTACTTTGTGCTTAGTAAACTCCTATCATTTTGCAGGCCCTGATGTTGCTGAAGGCATCTTTTGAGTCGAAAACAGTTCTCAAAAGTGTTTACATGAGCACAGTTCCCACAAGTGCTTCCATGAGCCGTGTGAAGCAGAGAATTAGCTACAACACATAATAAAATTGGATGTTTCAGTTTATAATTGTCCTTTTAGTGGCTTCCTTTTGTTTGTAGGTTTAGTTATCCATTGCTAAATCTTATTTTGAGATTCCCTTTCACTATGCTAACTGCTTTCACTCGATACCAAGATGCTTGAGGACAGATACTATATATTACAAGACTGAAAGTCAGTGGCGGATCCAGAATTCTCAAAGCGTGGGAGCTCAACTATTTTTAATCTAAAAATTGCTATTGAGACTGGGTGCTCAGCTAATGTATTTATATGAATTTACTAGTTTATATATACAAGTAATAGTATCAAGCACCCATAACTCGTAGAGTAGATCCGCCACTGGGTATCGAGCCCGTATTTTGATTAGTCCTCTCATGAAACACATGATTTCCTTCTTCTAATTTTCATTCAAATATTATTATTACTATATTATTTTTTTAAAAGTAAGTAGGATAATTAAATTTTAAGAAGGGCAAATAGGCTCGCCAAAAAAAATATTGTATGACTTGTTTTATTCGAAGCATAAAAACAAAAATCAAAAGAATGAATTCTCCATTTATATTGATGGTGGCGCGCCTACTTTTCTTATCTTTTCTATCTGTTTTTTCCCTTCGTTCCTTTGTCATGTCTATAGATTTATTACTAATAGCACTTTAATTGAGTAATTTGAAAAGTTTCTTCGTCCTTATAATTGTCTCCTTTCATAATTTAACTATTTTTTTAAATTTTAAAATATACAAATATTAATTTTAAGCAACTTATTTGGGAAGAAGTGTATTTTACTTAGAGTTGTGATTTCATAAATTACTAATTTTTAAAGTCAAAACGTGGTAATTAAATTTATTTATTTATTTTCTATTTTATGAGAATATTTTTGTAATTTAACTTCTGACTTAGGGTCTTTCCACTTTTAATATAGTATAGATATAGATAGATAGATAAGGGCATTAGAAAAATGAGTAGAAGGGAAAATTAGAGGAACTCTGGTGAGTCGTAAGTGGATAAAACGATTATCAAAACTCGTTCAGAAGAAATGAAACTGGCCCAAACGATGGCTGTAGACAATCAATTTCTGTTTTATTTTGTCAATTTATAAGCACTTAATATGCTCCTTAATACATATATTAATTAAATATCATGTTTACATTACAAATATTATACTAACACCACACAATTCAGGGCCTCCAACTCCGGACTGTACAGCCAATCAATTATTGTGAAAGGTTATTTGGGAGCTTTAATTCGGGGGTAGAAACGCGCAAATGGTCGGTGGATCGTCATAGTAACACCGACGAAAAACTTGTAAATAATTACTTGGATACACAAGTATAAATGGATAACTATCCACATACTTGTATACAAACTGAACCAGAAAAGGAAGGGGAAAAAAGAAGTAACCCTAGAATAGGCTAACAGCGTGGGGAAGAAGGCATATAAAGTGTCATTTAAAAGGAAAGGCACGAACTTTGAAGTTGAAGCCTGGGATGCAAAATATCAAACTTAGTTCGAACTGAGCTACAATGGAGGTCGGAAGCTTCTGGAAAGAAGCAAGAACAGAGAAGAGAAACCACAGAACACGTGAGTGCAGAAGAAAGATCTCAATCTGATTAATTGTGTGTGGGTCCCCTTATATACAACTAGCAACGGAAATGTAAAAAATATCTAATCTAATGTAACTACAGATGTCAAATACTAACCACTAACTAACTACTAATTGTTGACTCAGCACATACTGAAAAGAGAAGAAATACAGGATAAATATTTAATCTCAATACCCCTCCTCAAGTTGGAAGTGCCGACAACACTGCCAACTTGCCTAATACAACATAATGCTTCACTCTAGTAAGGGATTTGGTGAGGATGTCTTCTAGCTGCTCATTTGTAGTGACATGGTGCAGAGATTTGAGCGGCCTTCGTGTAGTTTGTCACACATAAAATGGCAATTAACTTCGATATGCTTAGTCCTCTCATGAAACACATGATTTCTAGCAATGTGGAGGGCTGATTGGCTTTCACAATGTACCGAAACAGGCCTGGGATATGGCACATTAAGCTCATCCAATAATCTGCATAACCAAACCAACTCTCCTATTACCTTCCTGAGTGATCTACTCAGCTTCTGCTGAGGATAAAGATATGGTCTCCTGCTTCTTTGACTTCCAACTGGTAGGACTGTTTCCTAATAATACCAAATAGCCACTCACTGACCTTCTTGAATCTGGGCATGCAGCCCAATCAGAATCACAGAATACCCTTACTGTACAATCCTCATATATTGACATGAAGATACCTAACATGGGATCACCCTTTCAGATATCTTAACAAGTGGAATGTAGCTTTTAAGTGAGGTTCCCTAAGTTCTTACATAAATTGGCTTAGGTGTTGAAAGCCAATTTTCGTACGTGAAAGTACGCCATAAATAAATTGTTGAAAGCTCGGAAATGAGACTATTTTGGAATTATAAGTATTATGCTATTTCAAACAAGAGATAAGTAAATTCGTAAAGGTGAGAGGCAAGCATATCGAACAAATAAGTTTCTTCAAAGTTTGTCAATTTGGGATAAAATACGGCCGAACTATAATACCGGTATTTATGGACTAGTACCATACATGGTACCACATGACCATGATAGTGAAGTATATGAGGTATGTTAAAAGTGAGTGGTATTTTAAGTAATTCGAGATAATTCTTAATTATGTGGGTAATTAGTTAATTACCGGGTAGCGGGACATTACCTAATTAATTAATTAACTATAGGATAAGATTAAATTTCTCACCCCCCTAACGTGGCTGCCCAAAGGGGCCTTGATGATGAGTATTAACTCACACAAAAAGGTGGCAAACTTTGGAGAGATTCTTTGCTAAGTCATCCCTAGTGGGGCCACACCCACTAAGGTAAGACTTCTTAAACCCAACTAATTTCATAAAAGGTAGGATCATTTCACAAAGAAAGATACAGTGCATTTTCATACAAGATATGATCATTTCACAAAGAAAGATACCGTGCAATTTCCTACAAGATATGATCCATTCACAAATCTTCAAGTCTAATTCACAAGTAACGTGAATTAAAACTAAGGAAAGTGACGGATTTTGGGTAAATTTTCATACAAAGTTACACTGCGTAATATCAACGGGATTTGCAATTCTAAGAGAGCACGGTACAATCTTTCTCAAGAACAACGTACGAATTTTCTTCTACTTCGATCCGCCGTTACGTGTTGTCGCAATCAACGGGTGTTAGGATTGTCAAGGAAATCGGTTCAGGTATGTTAAGGCTAAGCTTTTCCTTCATTTTGGCATGATCTCGTCATTACACAAGTTTGATAACGAGGAATAAAGAAAAATCCATATCCTGGAATTTACGTATATTTTGCTAGTCTCGCAAGTTACGTATATTTTCCTAGTTTTGTAAGTTACAATATTCTCTTTATCGGGATTTCATATTCAATTGAGTATTTTCCTCTTCCAGTCAAGAGGGTAGAGAGTTTATATATACAGTATTAAAAGTATTTTCATTACCATCGAGCTATAATCGGTAGGCAGGCCCCTATTGGGCAACCTCTGATCAGATGGTATGTTATATACCGAGCCTACTATGGCCGAGCGCCTATGAGCGAGACCAGATGGTCGAGATACAGAGCCTAGTATGGCCAAGAGTCTATGAGCGAGCCTACTATGGCAGAGCAGTTATATATATATATATATATATATATCGAGCCTTATAGGGCCGGACAGCTATTTTACTTACTATATTTAGAGAGTTGAGTCATATCAGCAGGTAAGCATATCTTCAGATTATCTTTGACTTCTAGCTACTTGCAGTTATTATATTATCAGTTCAGTTTCAGCTTTCAGTATACTGCCTTACATACTCGGTACATTATTTCGTACTGACGTCCCTTTTCTGGGGGCGCTGCATTTCATGCGTGTAGGTTCAGATAGATAGACGGGTAGACCTCCTCATTAAGTATTGCCCGAGTTCAGCTTGATCGGTAAGCTCCATGCCTTTCGGAGTCGCCGGGTCTAGAGCTTTATGTATATCTTATGTATATATATGTATATACGAGTAGGTCAGGGAGCTGTTCCGATCACTACATATCCACCAGTAGAGGCTTGTAGACCTTGTATGTATATTTGGTTGGTTTGTCAACTGCAATAATTATGACAGCCTTGTCGGCCCAGTTTATATTGATATTTAGTCAGCATTCGCAGATGTCTTGAAATGTGGCCCATGGCCAAAGTAGGACATTACATATTCAGAGTTCCTTAGTCGCAAGTTGGTACGCAAGGATAAGTGAGGCACCGGGTGCCGATCTCGCCCCCCAGTTTTGGGGCGTGACAGAAGTGGTATCAGAGCAGTTGTGTCGTAGGGAATCTACAAGCCGTATCTAGTAGAGTCTTGTTTATGGGTGTGTTGTTCACCACACTTATAAGCAGGAGGCTACAGGGAATTTAGGACTGATCACTCTTTCTTCTTACTCTAGATCGTGTGGTAGAGTTCACTTATAAAAATTCAAATTTCGAACTTCTATTATTCGTAATAAGACGATGCCTACATTCAGAAAGACGATTGATAAGAGATATAGCTGTGGAAGTGTTGAGTTAGAGTAACCCAAAATGATGAATGGATTGTTTGCGTCAGTTGACATCTCCAAGGATATTGCAAATGTGCTAATAGATCTCTTTATGAGACACCAGATGGTGCACTCTAAAATAGTACAACTAGATATGAGTACTACAAAGGTAGGCACTGGAAGCCTTGAAGGGATAAATATTACCTTAGTATGGCTCCCGTCCCTAATAGAGCGAGAATGCTTGGCGATTCCAGGAGCCAGTGATGGAGCATGAGGGGATAAAATCAAAAGAATGTTTTGGTCGAGTTTTTAGAATAAAGTGATAGACAGAATTGTTAGCAGAAAAATAAAAAGAGAGTTAATGAAGCAGTGTGAGTAAAGTACATGGATGACAACAGTAGATCAAAAAAATGATAGTATTATAGAGTCTGTAGTCAAGTAAAGGGAAAAACGAGAGGTGACAGGCCTTGAGACAACAAATGAGTATAGGCCATAAATTCATATCCTCACTTCGAAAAATAAGTTTGTGACTCCAACGCAACTACCGGAAGGAAAAGTTGGACCCCGGGATAACATAAATCGGTATGGGCTAGTGAACAAGATAAACTAAACATGAATTAGGAACTGAGTGATTTGGTAATAGTCAG